CGTTGTGGTCGAGGCGGAAGGTGAGTGGCGGAGAGTGGGATGGGGAGGACCGCCGGGTGCACGCGGGGAGAGCTCGGGAGGTTAGCAGAGCCGGAGCGCTTGTCCTCACTCGCCACCCAAGGTGCCTGCTTCGCCCCCGGGTTATCGGCGGACACTGTCCGGACGCCTCGGGTGGGCACAGAGTTCACCAGGAATAGATTGATTGATCCCGCGCCGGCTGCGGCGAGTACCGCTGCCCGGGTCCTCGCAGCTCGTCTTCTTGGCATACCGCGCGCAGGACGCATCCCGAGGTCGCCTCCCCCAGACCAGCCTCGCCCGTGTCAGTTCCTAGGCAGATCTACGCAAGTATTACTCCCTTGAATTGATGACAGACGGCTGGGGGAAAAGTACTGTTCCCTCGCTTTAAGGTGCAGTCTTGTTAACTGGGCTTGTAAGCAGACCTGAGGGAAAAGAGGGAGAGTATGGAAGAACAGAACCTTTAGCTGGTCCCCTGGGATTATCCATTCTCCACTGAGGATGCAAGCCCCGGATTACAGAGCTGCAAAGGAAATCGACTGCACAGCTAGTGTAGCTCCCAAAGAACAAGAGGGAGTCTCTTTTCTTTAAAGGGAAATAGAGGCAAAGGAAGGGAATTAAGTGGCGATTTCTCGCCCTCTTTGTTATAAATTGGAAGTCCCATAAGGGATTCTGCAGATTTTATCCAAAGTAGTCCAATGTGATGAGTTAATTGTGCCAAAGGTTAATCAGAGCGCCTAATGCCTGAGGGAACTGCAGGCGATTTCTCATTTCAGTAATTGACGAACCGGTTACCATCGCTTCATTCATTAAGGAATTCTGCAGTGGGGGTTTGTCCACTTGGTAAAGACAAGCTCAGGTTCAGTTGTGGTCTTCCTGCTCTTGCTGTTTTTGCTATTTCAGTTGTAGAGAAACTCCCATGATAGGAGACAAGTGTTTTTGTGGCTTTTAAAAGAAACAAATAGGCAAACTCTGATGTAGTTGTTGTCTTTAAAAACAAACAAACAAACAAACAAACAGGCAAACTCTGATGTAGAGCAGAAAGCATGCGATTCCTTCTCGGATATTTTGAGTATTGCCAGTTGACCTTAGGTGAGCCTTGCTTGATCCTCTGTTACCAGCTGTTGGAGCTGTGGATTTTGAAGTATAAGAAGCCTCAAGCCATGGGTCAAATCAATTATCACCCTGGATTTGCAAGCCAAATAAAAGGGTCATTGGTTAAAACCCCTATAACTTAGTGATAATGGAAAGTGACTTCAGTCGCTCAGAAGCATAGCAGAGGCAGAGAAAGGGTTTCTGCTCAACCTAGAGTTCTGCTCGACAAAGACCCCTGGCAGTGGTGGGGTGAGGGGCTGTTCTGGATATAAAATTCTAGAGGTAACCCGGGATATGACAGCTTGTAGCTTCTCGCCTACCTGCCTTAACAGAGCTCTATGACTGAGTTTATAATTTGTTGTTTAGTTTCAGTTAACTTCTACAATAGATGGGGATTGGCAGATATTTTGTCAATTTCATGTGCAGTTTTGTTAGCAAAGCACTCAGAGGGGAAGCAACTCAGACCCAGCTGGAGCAGACAGTGGTGTGGGTGGAGGAATGGATGGCTCTTTGTATTTTGTAGAAATGACTGTGGGGTGTGTTGTCTCCACAGTTTGAGGTCCTGAATGTGTTGCCTCCATGGAGCAGTGAGAGTCTAGAGCAGAGTAAAAGCACAGTGAACACACAGCGTCTGGTCTTATGCATTAGGGTCATTGGTGTATATGTAATGTGTAAGGTTGGGCGAGGTGACTGATTAAGCCAACCTTTTTCACCCGCTCCAGAGCTCTCAAGTTATATGCTGAGCTCCCTGCTCCACTGGAGCCCAACCAATAGGGACATGAATTTGTTCACTCACGGTGATGCTCTAAAGCTAATCTATATTGAAATCTGTTCCTAACAAAAGAGGGTATAAACACTTAGAATCTAATTGAATTAAGAGGTCTGTGCTTCCCCAAGTCCTTCAGAAAAATCAACAGCTCTGCTAAAAAAGACATATTTGTGTCATTATACAGGAAACCTGCCTTCTTGTTTGAGGGTTCCTGTCACAGGGAGGTGTGAGTCCTTGGATAAATTTGGTTTGGTGACGGCAGTATGCCTTCTCCAGAGACACTGCCACTTCCTCTGTGCTCCTTTTCTACCCTGACCTAAGTTTCTCAGAGTTAACCCATATGACAAGTGAGACAATGTGCCCTTTTACTTTTTCCTGGCCCTAGGGCTTTCCTTTTGTCCCTTTTAGGAGGAATTGGGGCTGAGGGGCCAACAACCAAGACAGCAGAGAAAGTGGAGACCTCGGGAGCAGCCCTCCGGGCAATGCAGTATAGTTGTTGGTGGGTTCTGATCTAACTGTCTTGCTGTTGGCAGGATCTCCAGAAGCTACTGGGGGATGTCTGACTAGCTCCCATGGAGCTCCACTACTTTACTAAGAAGAGCAGCCAGGCAGACCTGTGTGATGCCATGCACTGGGGCTCAGGAGGGCCTCCTGGTGACCAGGCAGATGCAGCAGCTGCCAGGGCTGCTCTCTGCTGTCAGAGACATTGTACAACCTGCCCAAGAGCAGCCGAGATGGAAGGGGCCAAACTTAGTCCTTCTCTAGCTTCCCCATCTTCCTCTCTGCAAGACAGGGCTATTCAGTCAGTCCCTTTCTCACCAGGACTTCTTGACTCAAGAAACAGTGAAGTGACATTGGAACGAAAAGTCTGCAACTGCTGCAGCCAGGAATTAGAAACTTCTTTCACCTACGTGGATGAGAATGTCAACCTGGAACAGCGGAACCGGAGCTCCCCTTCAGCCAAAGGGAGTCATCACCCTGGGAACCTAGGCTGGGGAAACCCAAACGAGTGGTCCCATGAAGCTGCCATATCCTTGATATCTGAAGATGAAGATGATGCAAGTTCAGAGGCCACATCTTCTGGGAAGTCAGTGGACTATGGTTTCATCAGTGCCATCTCATTCCTGGTCACGGGCATCTTGCTGGTGATCATTTCGTATGTTGTCCCACGGGAAGTGACTGTGGATCCCAACACTGTGGCTGCCCGGGAGATGGAACGCCTCGAGAGGGAGAGTGCCAGGCTGGGAGCCCACCTGGACCGCTGCGTGATTGCTGGGCTCTGCCTCCTCACCCTCGGGGGGGTCGTTCTGTCCTGCTTGCTGATGATGTCTATGTGGAAGGGTGAGCTCTATCGCCGACACAGATTTGCCTCTTCTACAGAGTCTGCAAAACTTTATGGCTCTTTCAACTTTAGGATGAAAACCAGTAGTAATGAAAACACCCTGGAACTGTCCTTGGTAGAGGAAGATGCTCTTACTCTACAGAGCTAATTTCTGGTTGTGAAATTCTTGAGAATCTGCCTTGGCATTTTATATGAAAAGGTTTTTTTCCCCCTTAATATGAACAGTGCAGTTTATTTGCCTGGCAAGAAAAGTCTCTTTCACAAACCAACAGCTAGTGAGTGTTTTCATTTTCCATTGTCTTCTATTTAAAAGAACAGCCGTGGAAGAACCATAAGAAACCACAAAGAGGCACACCTGTTCTTCAGAAGAGTGGAAGCCTAAATAACCAAAATAACCATGAGCTTGTACTTCTGTAGCCAAATGTTTCTAATGACCCAGGATACAAATGATATCTTTTACATGAATGTGATATTATCCTTTGGACACTAGGCAGTCCTTGCGTATAGTGGGATCAATTGGTAATCTATTTTGTGAAAAAGAAATTAAGCACTAATCACATAATAAGGCTTACATTGAATTCTGCAAAGGTGCTTATCCATTTCCTTGCTATTTTTTTCTCCTAAAATTTAGTATTTCCAGTTTGAATATTTTGAAGCTTCAAGATGTTAGTTATTTTTTTAAATGTTATATTTTAAATTATTCCTATATTCAGAAGTGATAATGAAATCATTAGGATAAACTTCCTAATAAGAGAAAGTACATGCATTATCACAAGACCCGTGAGGATTTAACCCAAAAGGTTAGTGCCAGATACTAGTCTGTGTCAAATGCCCTTTTTCTGAATGAAGTAAAAGAAGTAGGCGCTGATAATAGTTTCATTTTCTGTTTGTGGTTTTGCCATCATACTGGTTACCCGGGCTCTTGAAGTCTTTGTAGGTTCTCACAGCAGAGAGGCAAAGCATGAAATTGTAAAATACTCCTCCAGATAGCGACACATCTAGGCAGTCCTGAGTCATGACTGGCTCTGGCATGCTCTCAGGTGACACTGTGTTGTCATTTGAGGAAGACTTCCCAAACAGTTGCAGCTAGACTTTTAGGAAGTGCACCTTAGCAGCCTGTCTCACTTGCTGTGGGCCAATCAAACAGCCCTTGCGTCAGGATGGCAGCAGGCCTGTAGCTCACAGCCAAACACTCAAAACGGAAAGAGAAGGATTAAATGCGATTGTATGGCATGCTCACTTTGGCAGCATAGACACTGAAAGGGGATTCGGTGGGAATCGGACTCCTCAGAACTCACCTCCACCTCACCACGGTCTAGGCTTCATTCGAAGCACTTCGTATTTGGGCCCTTTGGTAACTGTGAGCTCTAGACTCATAAAGTGTAAAGTTTCTTTCTATGAGAGGCAAGATGAACAAAGTGGTCAAACTTGCAAGACACATGCCCAGTGTCCATACTGACACTCTTCCTTGTTATGACTGGTTCAGGAAAATGGTGAGGATGCAGCCTCAGAAATATCTTGCACCTTGAGGTGTTTCTAACCTCCTAGAAAAGCAGTTGTTTAAATTGATTACTATGTTACCAGAGTCAGTAAGGTTACTTTTAAAGAGAGCTGAGACCAGCCACAGGGGCACAAGCAGTAAGTCTCTGCCTTGTTATACTGGAGACATGTGGAAGGCCTGGGTTTGGATCCTGGGTCAAGCTGAACATGCCAGGTGTGCTCTTGGTTGGCTGGGAGGCTGGGGAAGAATTATAGCATGGTGAAACCCTGTCGAGGGTACCTTTTCTCTTTCTCTTGCTCTGTCTCCATGTCTCTCAAAAAATAAAACAAACTTTAGAAAAGAAGTCCTGCACTAGGAATTGGTGAGAGAGGGCAGGGATGAGGGAACAATAAAGTAAGAAGGTGATTTTGTAGATTCTAAAGCTCGATTCTAACATCTGAAGTTTGTGTTGTTGTGTTTGTTGTTTGAATGGAATACGTGGGTGACTTTGGCTGGTGAAGTGTGTGAGTCAGGATGTTTATGTGAATGAGCTCTGGTGGGTGTTGGATCTACTTGGAGTGAGGTACGCTGTTTGTTACTAAGGTAAAGGTGAAATGCAAAAAGGGTCAGAGGATAGTAAAAGGAGATAGGTGGAACAGGTATGTGAAAGAAGAATAAGGTAGGGCCAGCTGGTGGTAAGGCAGTTAAGGCAGCTGGATCCCACATGGCTGACTGAATGGTTCAAGTCCCAGACCTGGCAGCTTGAGAAACCTACCAGGTACATGTGCATATATGCCCAAAATCCCCAAAGGGGAAATGAAGAAGAGATTGTGGCGTGGCCATCCCCATTGGAAGGTGCTTTTTCAGTTTTTCTCTCTTTCTCTCTCTCTCTTTCTCTCCAGTGAGTATGTGCCCTCTAGCCAATTTTTAAAAAGGAGAAAAAAGAGAGTGAAGTAAAATGAAAAATTACATGGACACCAGGGGAGCTGACAGTGGCTCAGTGGCCTCATCCCACAGAACAATATTGACTGTTTGATTCAGGAAGAATTGGGACAATGTAAATATTTTTTATTTCTGTTGGTGGTTCATGTTTTATGAAACAACTTTGTTCTCTGCCTCTTCTGTCATAGTTTATCTTGAGGCTGCCTCAATAAGTTTTATATTCTGAGGGTTTGTAAGTTGTCTGGTTCTAACTGCTTGAGGGTCCATTTTAGGTAATGTGAGGTAAGAAGGCAATGATCTGCTACTTGACTGAATGAGTAGGTCTGAGCTGTGTTTTTCTCAAAAATTCATTTAAAAATACATTTTATAAAATGACATGTTTATTCATAGTAGCTAAGTGAGATCAACTGAATTTCATTTTTTCTTTATTGGTGAAAGGGGATTAATTAGCCAAATGGTAGACTAAGCTGAATTAATGTGCAGGCCAATTTGTAGTTTATGGAAGAAAATGAGGTTGAGAATCAAGTGTTAGCAAGTCTTTCCAATTCTCTAAAATTGACCATGAAGAAAAAGCCAAAGCTCTACACTTGCAAATATTTAATGAATCTTACATTGTTATAAAATTATATGTGTGGGGGGCTGGTGTGGTGGTTAAGGGTGCTGAACTCCTGCATGGCCGACTGCGGTTCAAATACCGGACCTGGCAGCGCACCTTCTTGCGTTGTCTTTCTCTCTCTCTCTCTCTTTCTCTCTCTCTCTCTTCTCCCCCTCTCTGGTCAAATTAAAATATAAATAAAGCTAAATCAAATAATTCTTTTAAAAAATTATATGTCAGGGAATTTCAGAAACTTCATGAAAAATAGGAATTAAAGGACAAGTTTATTATAATGCATAAAACATGAAATCTATGCGTAGTTTTCTAAAATTTGCATTTTCCAATGAACTTTTTGAAGGACCCTCACTGATATGATCTAAAGGTAACATTAAAAAAAAAAATGCCATGGGGCCAGCAGATGGTATAATGGTTACATCGCTGGACTGTCGCATAACTAACCAAGATTTGAGTCCCAGGCCCAGGGCATTGAAACTTACGCTGGATGTGTGTGTGTGTGCCCAAAATCCCAAGAGAAACATGTAGGAGGAGAAATTGTGGTATGGTTATCCCCTTCTGGGGGGCGGGTGATTTCTCACTTCCTGTCTCTCTGTCTCTCTCTGTCTTTTTGGCAAATGCATACGCCCTATAACAAAATCACTCAGAAAAAAAAAAAAAAGGTATTTATGAGAAAAAAATATAGGGGAAAGAGAGGTTCCAATAAGTCAGAATTTATTTTTTTCCCAAGCACTCTAAAAATTTCCTTAAAATTTAAATATGTTCATGTGAAGAACACAGATGTTTTAGGATCTGCCTCCACAAGGGTAGACTATTGCACCAAAAGGGATTAATGTAGTGCTGTGTTGACATAATTCAGATAATTGCTTAAATCAGCTTTCCCCAGTTTTGGTTTGTATAGTCCTCATCCATCTTATTGGTGCCTAAAGTCAAGGCGACGATTACTTGGATTTAAAATTATGGTGGGCCAGCCAATGGCCTGGTGATTAAGGGCTGGAAACCACATGGCTCACTACATGGTTTGAGTATGGAACCTGGTGGCTCGAGAGACACACCGGGTGCATGTGCATGCGTGCCTAAAATCCCAACAAGAGAAAGAGGTAGAGAAAGGATTGTGGTTTGCCTATGGCCCATGATGGAAGCTTTCTCACTTGTAAAGAAAAGACTTGAACTTTATACACAGTTGTTTCCAATTTGATAGTATGTTTAACCCTGGAAGAACTTTGGCAAGATTGGGAGATAAATGTTGGAGACACTGAGCAGACAGCTGTGTCATGAGTCTTGGATCCTTCATGGAGATTGATCACCTTGTATCTGTCTCTTCAGTGTGGTGCTGGTTGTTACCTATTCCTTTTCTTTTTTTCCTTTTTCTTCTTTTTTTTTTTTTTTAGAGATTTTTGCTGTAGGCTGCATGTGCTCACCAGAGAGACAGAGAGATAGAAGAGAAAGCGATAAATCACTGCAGGGAGGATGGCCATGCCACAATCCCTTCTCCTCCATTTTCCTCTTGGGATTTTGGGCACACACGCATACACACCCAGCATGAATTTCTAGTGGCTAAGTCCAGGGCTCAAACCTCGGTTGACCACAAGAGAATTCAGCACCTTAACCACTGCACTACCTTTTCTTTCCCACGCTCACCTCCCATTGTTTTTGTTTTTGTTTTTTGTTTGTTTTGATTTTTGCTACAGGGCATGTGCGTCACCAGAGAGACAGACAGAAAGCAAGAAATCACCTCTCGGGGGGATGGCCACATGGTCATGTACACACATGTGCTGGCGTAAGTTTCAAGCTACCAGGTTTAGAACTTAAACTACAGTGGGCCACATGGGAGTCCAGTGATGTAACCACTATGCCATTGCTGGCCCTCATCTTCCTGATCTTAACAACAAAGCAGTTCATTCTTCAGCAGTGTGGTTCAAAAGAGTGAGTACCAGAAATTAAGCTGACTTTCTCCTTTCCAGTTGGGATCTACATACTGCTAGTGGACAATTTAAGACTCTTAATGTCTTTAATCAACCACTTCTTTTTGGAGCACCTTAAAATGTGATAGTTTGCATAATTTTCTTTGCAATGTTGTGTGTCCTTTTGGGCCATTTGCGGCCCCTGAAACAGAGCATGTGACTTACTGGCTTCTCATACAACGAACTCCTTTTCTCCAGGCTCCCCGTTGCATGGCTGGTTTATAGTTGGGAGGAGTACAAGACTTGTTGAAACCGTCAATTTCTAGGTGGCTCTATACCCCACGACCACTGTATTCCTAGATTCCATACTACCGAGATACCTGTCATGATATCACATGCTTTGCTGTCTGCTTAAAATACGCATCCTTCCTCCTCATACTTGCTAAGGGACCCACTAAAACTGGTGCTGGCACTGGCCCTTAAAGGTACACCATTAC